CACTGAATTGATCAGAATTACATTCTCCTCCCATTTCTAATCACAGGCAACCAGAAAAGAGAAAATGGTGCCTTACAAGGTAAAAGGTTCAGCCTGTCTGCCTTTCACTTCAGCCACTCTGTGCTTGATCTCTTGTTGCACAGTAGAAACATACCCCAATGAATTTCATGGATCTTAACTAATCATATTACTTTTCCCTCCGCCATGTGGAGGCCAGATATGTTTATTTCTGATATTTCTTGTGGTAGGTGCTTTTCATTTTGGCCACTCAGTATCTAAATACATTTTCTATTTGGAGGGAATTCCAATACTGAAGCTCAAGTGTGAGCAAATAGCCCCTTTCCCACTTCCCTTGTCTCTAGGATTTGAGCATGTGAACTTCCTTGCAACCAGATGCTCCTACCTAAGACCTTGACTCTGGAGTGAGCAACAGAGAGAAACACATGGCAGTTTAGAGTCCTCACAGGGATGGTAGAGGAAACTACCATAATGGACTCATCCAATGTCTAATGGCAGCCATGCCAATGACAGAAGCTATTGGATACTAACCACTTTCTTCCTGTGTATTGATTTGATATTTATTTTTGGCTGCCTAATTTCCCATGGCTCCTATGTTTCAAACCTCATTCATCATCTTTTCCATCAATTTTGTGAGCTATCCAATATCCTTTCAGTACATTCCTTTTCTATCTAACCAGAGTTGGTCTACATCATTTAGGGATCTGGAAATCTTAGTACATACCTGGTTTGTGCAGAAGTCACCCTTTCTATGGAGATAAAAAGCTGAAGGAGAGAGGTGCCTCCCCATCAATTGCTCCTAGGTCAGGTGGTCAGCTCTAGTTCAGAAAAACTCACTATCTCAACTTTTGTGGTAATCATTTCTTTACTTTTCTGTATAGTTTTAACGCCTGCATATGTATCCCTAAACAACTTGATTTCACTTAGCCTGATTTTAAACTTAAGATGAATGAATCATACTATGTATATCCTTTTGTGCCTTGCTTCTTTCACTCAGTGTTTATGATATTCATAAATACCGACTGCTGAGATTTGCTCATTTGCATTGTTGTAAAATACCCATCGTAAGAATACTTATTTATCCTTCTGTGGATAGGTGCTGTGCCATAGTCAGCACGTGGCTATGATAAACAACAACGCTTTGAATATTCTGCTACATGTATCCTAGGGAATCTTTAAGGGGACCTACCTGGCAGTAGAATAATAGCCATGGGATGTGTGTATCTTTGATTTTTCTCAGTTAATGACAAACTGTTTTCTAAAGTGAACACACTAGCTCATCACCAGTAGTTTTGGGGAGTTTCTGCTGTACTACACCCTCACCAGGAAATTAATATGCAACAGGTAAAAACAACACATACCGAATGCATATTATCTGCTCTCAAGCATCTTACAGTCCAGTGTTTGGGGAAGAGTTACATTCAGGGGGTGTATGAACACAATTCATACAGTTTTGGTAAAGCCACCACTCCTCCCACTATTGGTATATAATAAAGAACTGGCCAATCAGCACATTTTACCTCCTTTGGCCACAATAATTGACTCACCGATATACTTGTGACACAAACTAATGAGATTACTTTCCAGGATTTTCGTTAAATCAAATGGAAAATAAACATGGTTTTTGTTCTGGAACTGCTAGATTAAGCGAAAGGAGTGTATTGACTTACTTGATTTCAAGGATAATGAGATAACCCACAAAACTGAAGGAAAAGCATCAGGAACTGGAACCAAGACTTGATGCCTCTGAGACATACATTCCTACTCCTGTCTACTTGGTTTCTTTTTATCAACAATCTGACTCCACATAGAAGGGAAGATGGTTGTATGGAGCCAATCCAGCAAAAAGACAAACACTATACCCCACAATCCTTTTATCAATTTCACAAGACCCTGGTGAGCTCTGCTTCTGTTGTTAAATGTCCTAAGTCTTGAAATAATTACTTTTGCTAGAGAAACCATGATTGATTAAGATGATATCATATTGTCAGGCAATGTGTCAGGCAATGCAGGGGGGAATACAAACCCAAACTACTTAAACCACTATCACCAAGAAAAGACCACTGTTCTTGTCTAATAAAATTTGTAGTCTAGATGGGGAGAGAAATCACATGAATAAACATAGAATTGCTGTGGTATATGTCATAAGAACAAGTACATAAAGACCACAGTAGGGAGAATGATTTACCTTTGCCATGTATAATGTGCATTTTTTGCCCAAATTTTTGAGGGAAAAATAAGGATGTACATTATACATGGGTAGTACCAGTTCCATATCTATATGTATTTAGTTCTTTTATTTATGTTTATGCATTAAAAGTATAACTCTAGAAAGCAATAATGATATCTATTATGTTAAAAAAATAAATGCTAAAATTCCTTTATAATACAAAGAACAAGTATCTAAATATAAAAAAATTAAAAACCCAAATTAAAAAATTAAAAGTTTCTTTTTCTGAATGTTGGGGCCAAAAATGTGGGTGCACATTATATGTAGGAACATATGATACATGGCAAGATACGATATTCCAGAAGTTCATGGAAAATGAGGGCTAAAGGTTGTTCTAGGCAGAGAAAATAACATGTTCAAGTCCCTGTGACAGAAAGAAGCATTGCTCACTGGAAGACCTAAGATAAGGTGAGTATGGCTAGGGAGAGCATGGTGTGATGTGGGACTAAAGACAGAGCCAAGGCAAGACCATGAACATTATCATAGGCCACTTTAAATATTTTATATTTTTTAAATTTTATTTTTATTGTATTTTTTCCTTTACTATTTGTTACTCTTACATCCCACTCCCCCCACAATCACCACACTGTTGTCAGTGTGATATATTTTTATCTCAGGTGTCACTAAAAGTCATTTAGATATCTCTCTCATCCAAGTACTAACCAGGCCTGACCCTGCTCAGCTTCCAAGGTCAGACAAGATCAGGTACATACAGAGTGGTATGGCCACAGACTCATTTAGGTATCTTAAGGGGGTGAGGAGGGGCAAGGTAGTAGAAATTAACAAATATGTATTTAGGAAAGATCACTATGACGTACGGTAGAGAACAGATTGGAGTTGAGCTTAAGTGACTACAAGAAGATACACTGAGTTTTAAGTTGATTTCCACCCAACAGAGCTTTATGTATTCCTGTCTCCTACTTTCCTAGGTTATATGGAAAAGAAAAATCAGTTAAATAAATCAAAGAAGCTTTTAGAAGAGTGATTAATTTCCTCTGTAAAATGACTCACTTCTTTCTTTCTTTTTGCAATATTTCCCCCACTGATCACTGTCTGCCATGAGCTCACTCACCTGCTCTTTAAAGAAGTCAAGAAAATAAGGCAACAGGATCTCTACAGAATCTGTGTGGCCTTAAAGGATGAAACCCTAAGAATTGTTTAGTTCCTGTGTCTCAGTCTCCAGATGTCTTATGGCTCAAAATACCATTATCCCCCTGATGACTCTCGAATTTGTATCTCTAGTCCACACTTCTTCACCGAACCTCAGTTTCTAAGTCTAGTTGCTTCCACTTCTCCATTTAGATGTCTGATGAAGATTTCAAACTCAACACAAAAAAACCCAAATTCCTGATTTCTTTCCTCAAAAATCTCTTCTTGTATAACTCGGTTCTTCCAAGTTACTCACAATGTCTCTTTTACTTCACATTCCTCATCTAATATATTCACAAACCTTATCTCTACTTCTAAAATATCTCCAGAATTCAATTCAGTTTTCACAACCCCAATCGCTACTGCTCTGGCCCAAGCCACTATCACTAATGGCTCGGATTATTGCAGTAACTTCCTGGTATCACTTTTTACCACCTAATATATATTTATTCTCATCTGGCTCCCTCTACATAATCTCTGGGAGATCCAGTACTTGTCTCTTTCATTTAGTGCCATGAACCCCAGTGCAACCTCCCAGGTGCTCCATAATTATTTGCTAGAATTAATAATATTTTATACCACCACATATATAGTTATTCCTTTAAACGCATGTTTGGGTGTGTGAAAATTGACGATGGTAGGGGACTTTTACAAATTAAAAATACCCTGAGACAAAGCAGTGAGTGGAGAGTGGGGTCAGCTGGTTGATGCAGTTTCCACAAGCTATCCCGGTTTCTCTCAGCGGACAGTTAGTTGTTCAATGTCAGCTAACCCCCCTCTATTTGGGGGCCACTGTGGGTGTAAACTTCGCACGGCACTCCACACCTGCCTCAGCCTACCACATAACAGCCTCGGATTAGTCCTGCCTCAGCGACACACGAGCCCATGCAGTTTCAGGCTGGAAGAGGCACTTGCACGCTCTCCAGGCCCTCCCAGATGTCACTGGATCATAGGCCACGCGGGTGACTTTAATCGTTTGGTAAAAGGAGAACACTTCTCATTGACATTCTCCGCTGTACTAGTAGTAACTTAAAATAAAAAAGCAGGGAAGACACCTTCTGAGACCTGGCTGTCGCTTCAGGATTGGAGCGCACAGTGCACCTTGCACCTGGCTGAGGTACTATTCTCTGCCAGCTTTTGACTTGATGGGAAGAGAAATTGCTGTCAGTTGCCCTGATCCTAAATGGCAGGTTACTCCATTGCCATACAGGGGTGAAGATAGGGCTGTTGGAGAAGTCAAAATGAGAACGAAATCATTTTCTTCATCCAACAAGTAGGCAGAGGTTCCAGAAGAGAGAAGAGGCAGAGACAACAGACCTAATGAAGATGGCCAAAGGCAACACTAACCTAGTCCAAAATGGCGCCTGCGGTTATTACCGAGAGCACAGAAGAGGCAGTGATTACCCTGATCCAAGATGGCGGTAGCTATTGAGGCAAACCGAAGGGCGGGAGTGCAAGGAGTGTCTTTGCCCTCCTCCGAGAAAGCGGCTGCAGTGGGTGCTGTCCCTGGCTCCGCCCCACGCACTCAGCCCCACCTCCCTAGTCCCTCCCACCGCCTTCTTTCAGTGCCTAGGCCGGGCGGTGGTGCTTTCGCAAGGAGGGCAGGCTGCAGGCACTTGACATGGCGGCAGCAACGGCGACTGCAGCAAGCAAGGGGAATGGGGGCGGCGGAGGCCGGGCTGGGGCAGGCGAAGCCAGCGGGGCGCGGAAGAAGAAGGGCCCGGGGCCTTTGGCCACGGCGTACCTGGTCATCTATAATGTGGTGATGACGGCTGGGTGAGACTGGGGTTCGGGGAGGCGAGGAGTGAGCCTGGCCGGTAAGGGGGCTCTGCGGCCGGCGGGGTGGCTGGGTCCGGCCCACCACGCGCCGCGCAGCCCGGACGCCCGGAGACCCGGCACCTGGGCAGTGAGGGCAGCCGAGCGAGCGGTGAACGGCCCTGGTACCTATCTGGGACTGCCGCCTATGCGAGGGCCGAGCAAGTTCCCAGGCAGCGGGTGTGCCCCGAGCTGGAGTTCGGGGCTCCCACGGGGTATAGGGGAGGCTGCCCAGGTTCAAGTCCGGGTGGGCTGCTCAGTGGTCCAGGTCTGGGGGCGGTGTGCAGGGCGATTCTGCAGCGCGGAGATCTTGGGCGGCCAGTCACGAATGGCGAGCTGTTTCCCCTATGGGGAGTGGAGAAAGCTTGACTGCAGAGCGACCATTTATTTAGGCGGCTGTTTTCAAAATCCAGGCTGAGCTATGATCTGAAAGGTAATGGAAAGGCTTTCAAAGTTTTTGGCCAGTGACATGAGCAGAGCTGTGCTTGAGATGAGTTTAGCCGTTTTTAGGATATATGGGGATGGGGAAGGCAGTGGAGGTGGCAGACAGAGATCCTGAGGAGGAGGGGAACAAACCCACCAAATGGGTACCCCCTCATGTTACTCCCTCATTTCGGCCCATTCCTTGACACAGCGAGTTTTTGGTGCTAGTTGTGATAATGACTAGATGTAGAACCTTGGATGAATTACTTTATTTCTCTTGGCCTCTGTGTTCCCTCTGCAGCACTAAAGAATTGGGCTAGATTTCCAAGTTTCCTCCAAGCCTTTGATCCATGATTTTTGGTGAGGAGGATCGGAGGAGCAGGCTCTTTGTAGTGTATTTCGAACTTTGATTCGTATGTAAAACGTTTTCTGTAACATTTTATTTTGAAAATTTCAAACATACAGGAAACTTGAAATAACTATATAGTGAACACCCATTTTTATTTATTTTTACAATAGGTAGTACATGGGTGGGGTGCAAGATTCAAAATATAGACAAGGGCATAAGGTAAAATTCTTCCCTTTCATCCTTCCCTTCCACCTAGGTCCCCTCCCTGGAGGCAGTTTATTTTGTGTGTCCTTCAGAAGCTGATACAAGTAAAAACAAATACATGCCTTTCCCCTCTCCCCGACACCCATTTGTAAAACACAAATGCTAATGTTAATTTCAGGACATGTGCTTTTTTCATACAGAGATACATCTTGGGAAGATCATACGTTTTATTGCTAGTATTATAAATGGCCTGTGTTGAAACCTGGGCTCAGAGAAGTTGTGACTTGCTTGGCTTGCTTGAGGTCACTGAACTTGTTAGTGTTAGATCTGGATCTAGAACATATTTCTCCTTGTGCACAAGCCAATGAAGAAATATCACAGATGGAAGTTTTCTGTGTCACATAAATGTTCACAGTGATTTTAAAAGAATATTCAGGGCTCAGTGTATTTAAATTTATACATAAAAGTCTTGCCTTAGCAAGGGCATTGATGAGAACATTGGACCTGGAGAGGGATTTTAAGGGACATTGGGGAAGAAGAAAATAAATCATTATTCCTGGGCAGTGAGTATAGATAAGGGGGTGGAGGGTAAGGAGTGATATTTTAAACTAGGAAGAGAATTTGGGACTGTGTGAGTAAAATAAGGTCCCCCCCCCCCACGCCCAGGCTGTTAATACCAGACCAGTTACACTATTAAGGAGCCAGTTTTTACAAACTATTTGATGTCTTTGTATGACATTTGGCAGAAATAACATACACACCCCATTACACAGTTGAGATTATGCATATAGGTAAATCTATATGCCTTCAAGGAGACATACCTTAATTAAGGCCTGTCCATTTTGTTATGGAACTTAAACAAATTAGCAAGCCTGAGAAATTTATTTTTGAGAAGGAACGTAGAACAGAAATGTAACATTTACAGTGCTATGCCTAAGTGCTTTCCTTTTTTGCATTTTGTATTGATCTGTATTTCTTTACTGAATTGATTTTGGGAAATTCAACAACAAAAAAAAACTTTTACTCTTTAAAAAGAAATCTAACCTTCTATTCTTCATTTGCAATTTAAAAATGATAGATTTTAAGGTACGGTTATGTTCCAGTGAGACTTGTAAAAGAGCTTAAAATATCCCTTCAACCTATTATTATTACAGACCTCTTAACTGCACAGGTCATTGACATTTTTCCTTTAACACTTTTTTTTTTCTCGTGTCATAGACACTCTAGCACTTAATTGAACTGCTCAGGGACAATTTAGCTTATTCCCTTCATTTTGGCCTTGTTGTCAACCGGCAAGGTTGCCAAAAAGCCCGAGCTCCAGATGGGTGAGGTGCCACTGTGCTTTGTAGAGCACTCTTGGTATGGTGCAACACTTCTGTGCATTAGCGTTTGAGAGCTATAGCTAATAAATCCAGGACACTGATTCTTGAGCTCACCTTTAGCAATATCTGTTATTACCACATCTTCCTATTACCTTAAACCCTACTTACCTTTTTTCTTTTTTCTTTCTCTGATTTATCTTTTTTCTCTTTTTTTAAGGTGGCTTGTTATAGCAGTTGGCCTGGTCAGAGCATACTTGGCTAAGGGTAGCTATCATAGCCTTTATTATTCCATTGAAAAACCTTTGAAGTTCTTCCAAACTGGAGCCTTATTGGAGGTAGGTCCTGAGGTTTATTGTTGTTGATTCTATTGTCATAAAACAAAACATGCTACCAAATTATATTCAAGTAGCCATATCTGTTGTCTTTGCTTTAAATTTTGAAAACTCACCTTATAGTGTACTATAGTGTTGATACCTAACCATCTTTTTAATGTTCTAGAAAAAAATAAAATCTCATTTAACTTGTATTACCTAGAATATATTTTGCATTCACCTTCTACTGGAATTCAAACTAACCAAGCTTATATGGGGATTTAAAAAAATTCTAGGGACATCTTAGGGAAGTGTTAACAAACTCAGATATTTTCAGGGCCAGGCATATAATGGGAACAGAAAATTGTTGGGTGTAGGGTGTAGGGTGTCAGAAGTGGTAGTTGTGAGAAATGGTAGAGCCTGTCTAAAGGCATACAAATTAAAAAAAAATTTAAACAAAAGCTTATTAGTTTCCTTGTATTAATGGTAATGTACCTCCAGTCCTGTCTCCTAGAGCCAATGAATATAAGGATTTGTGAGTTGCAAGTGACAGAAACCCAATTCAAGTTATTTTAAGCAAAAAAGGAGTTTTCTGGCTTCTGTGGTTGATTAAGATATAGGTTTAACTTACAAAATCAAAGGAACCAGCTCAGGAATGAGGAACAGGGAATTAACATTGCCACACTCATATCTTACCTCTACTTATCTCTGTTGAACGTTAGTCTTAGACTTTCCTATTGCAGAGTGCCTTCTCCACATGGTAGGAAACAAGGAGGGAGTTTATTTTTCTCAGCATCTGTGTCACATTCTAGGGAAGGACTCTGGTTGGCTTTACTTAGACCAATCATTCTTGCCAATGATTAGGCAGGTCTAGGAAAGGGAAAACAGGAATAGCATTGGGCACACAGAGTCAATAGCTGCCATAGTTTGTTATGGTGACAAAACCTTCAGGTTGAAGAGATCTTGTCATTATGACATTAGGAAGGATTTTTTTTTAAATCATGTTTATTCTATTAAAGTAGTCTCAGTTTCTCCCCCTTTGCCCTCCTCCACCCATCCCACCCTGCCCCCTTCTCCCACAGTCAGTTCCCACTCTGCTGTCTATATACATGGGTCATTTATACATGATTTTTGTTTAGTTCCTTCTCCTTCTTTCCACCATTGTCCTCCTTCCCCCATCCCTTCTGGTCACGTTTCCATGCCTGTGGTTTATTTGGTTCATTAGTTTCCTTTGTTGAATAGATTCCACTTATAGGTGAGATCATATGGTGTTTGCCTTTCACCAACTGGCTTATTTCAGTTAGCATAACATTCTCCAGTTCCATCCATGCTGTTGCAAAAGGTAGGAGTTCCTTCTTTCTTTCTTTTTTTTTAAATGCAGATTTATTTATTTATTTATTTATTTATTTATTTCAATGTCAAGATCCATTATAAAATATTAAAAAATTTAAATCCATTATGAAGTCTCAGCAATCATGACACCTGCACAGAAATAATCAAGTAGGTCAATGGAGTATAACGAGCATTCTGGAAACAAACGTATATATCTGTCTAACGATGTAATATATGATTCAATTGATACTTCAAAATCAATGGGGGAAATATGGCTTATTCAACCAATAAGATGCATGGACCACTATTACTTGAAATAAAACAAATACAGAGCCCTATTTCACACAGTACACAAAAAATATTCAGGTGAGTGAAAAATCAATATGTAAAATCTAAGGAGTTTGAGGAGAAAATATAAAATAATATTTTTCTTACCCTGAAGTAGCATATTCAAACCCAGAAGCTATAAAGTAAAATATTGACAATATGACTATATTAAACATTTAAGACTACACAGTAATATTCATGTAAAAAAAGTTAAAGGACAAGCAATAGAATACAAAAGTATTTCTATTCTTATAGCTGCAACACAGCTATAAAAGGGGTAATAGTTTATTTGGGGGGGGGGGGTTTTGTTTTTGTTTCTGTCTTTTTTAGGGAAAAAGAAACTATAAACATTTAATCAAAAAAGGGATAAAGAATACCAGAAAGTCATTGAAGGCTTTTTAAAAATAATAGAAATAGGCAAGAAATGCACAAAAACAGGTTTAGTGTCAACAAATAATAAAGTAACAATTAAAATAACACGTCACTGTCACAGTCAGATTAGTAAGTATTCAAGATACTGGTAATATCAAGTATCGGTGACTGTGAAAGGAACTGGGTATTCATAGACTTCTTCGTCTTCTTACAGCAGTCCCTTTAGCATACCTTGCAATGCTGGTTTGGTGGAGGTGTATTCTCTTAGCCTTCTTTGGTCTGAAAAGCTCCTTACTTTGCCTCCCATTTTAATTGAGAGCCTTGCTGGGTAGAGCAGTCTTGGTTGCAGGCCTTTGCTTTTCATGACTTGGAATATTTCTTGCCATTCCCTTCCGGCTTGCAGTGTTTCTGCGGAGGAGTCAGCTGCTGGCCGTATCGGGGCTCCCTTGTATGTCCTCTTTCTCCCTTGCTGCCTTTAGGATTCTCTGTTTGTCTTGGAAATTTGCCTTTTTCATGACGATGTGTCTTGGAGCGGGCCTCACTGGGTTCCTCTTGAACGGGACCCTCTGTGCTTCCTGGACTTGTGTGACTTTTTCTCTCCTCAAATTAGGGAAGTTTTCCACCATGACTTTTTCAAACAGGTTCTCTATCCCTTGCTTCTCTTCTTCTGGAATCCCTATTATTCCGATATTACTGCGTTTCAGGTTGTCCTGCACTTTCCTCAACGCCTCTTCGTGCTTTTTGAGTCTTTCTTCATTTTCTTGCTCTTTCTGGGAGCTTTTTTCTACCTCACCCTCCAGCTCGCTGATTCGACCCTCTGCTTCATCGAGGCTGCTTTTGATTCCTTCCACTGTGTTCTTCAATTCAGAAATTGTACTCTTCATTTCCTCTTGTCTCTTATTGATAGTTTCTATGTCCCTTTTCATGCTGATATAGTTTGCAGTAAGTTCCATGTAGTTTCCCTGTAGTTTTTGGTAATTCTCTCTGAGCTCACTGAGTTAATTGAGCTTCCTTAGAACCCTTGTTTTGAACTCAGTGCCTGATAGCTGACTTGCCTCTATTTCATTTAGTTCTCTTTCTGGGGATTCCTCCTTTCCCTTCGATGGGGGGTGGAGGGTGTTGTTTCTTTGTCTTCCCATTATTTTTGAGACTCTTCTTTTTGGCTTCTGCCTCTTACATTGATCTGCCTTGAGTTCCTGACTTTGTGGTATGAACTTCTGTGGTAGGAGACCGCTGTTCTTTTTCTTTCAGGATCTGCCTCTGATGATGTCAGGTGTTGATCCCGTCTGACCTTAGGCAGTCTGTTCAAGACTTCCAGGAATCTACTGTCTGGTTTTCTCCTTTAGCTGTTAATCTAGTCTCTCTTTATTCAACAGGCTGGCTTAGAAACACCACAGGGCGGGGCAGAGTCCCTCCTGGGGGTGGGGTTATTGGGTCCTCTCACCCTGCTGCTGCCACTCAAGGGAGTGTGTGCTGAGCCAGATGGCTGCTGAGGTATGTGGGAGGAGTCAGCACCGGATCCCACCAGCTACTCTCCCAGTTCTCTCCCCAGAGCCTTCTTCCCCAGTCTCTCCTCAGGCATCTCCAGTCCACTCTGTCCCGACCTTTGCTGGAGGCCTGGGTCAGTGGCTGCAAAGAAAATTTTATGTGTTGGCCCTTTAAATGGCTCTTTGCGTCTCCAGCCGCTTGTCGCTGGCAGAGAGCAACCCTGCTGCTTTTCGCAGCTGGCTGTTATCTGTGTACTTTTTGGGCCCTGGTGATGTAAGCTGGAGATCCCTGCTTACAGTTTAGACCCCGCTCTTCTCATAGGGATCCAACTGGCCGTTTCAATATCCTTCTGGTGCTGTGGCCCGTGGGGGCCCCTCCTGCCTTCTCGAGCCTCTACTGCATTCCTTACCAGTGAGGTCGTGCTGAAGCTGATTCTTCTGCCTGCCTGAGGTTAAAAGGCTCCTCTCTTGCTATTGTTCAGTTGTTTGCTCCAGGTGATTTCTCCACAACTTAGTTGTAATTCCAGTTTGGTCGTGAGAGGAGGTCCGTGTGTCTTACACTCACTCCTCCGCCATCTTGATTTCAACATTTGGAAGGATATTTAAAAAAAAAAGTTTACTTAAATGAAATGAGATGTAATACCTCAACCTCTCATCCTCTCATTTGAAAGCAGAAAATTGTAGAATTGTTATTTTTTCTCTCAGTAAACAGAGACTTCAGTACTACCTACAGTTACACATTTTTGGTAGATAGTATGATGAGGTGAGCTTCTGACTGGAGTCTGAGTGCCGTTCTTCTAAGTATGCTGGTTTTACCAACTTTACTCTGAATTTGGGCAAGTCATTTATCTCTTGTTCATCTCATTTTCTCATTTGTAAAATAATTAGGTTAAAATACATTTCCAGAGCCCCTTCTCACCCTAATCCTTTGAACCTGAGGAAAGCAGCAAATCCATATTTTGAACTTAGAATCTGGAATTTTTTTGAACGGGGCAGTAGTGAGTGAGTAGTATTCTTTTTCTCTGAGCGCTAAGCCAATACATCTTTCAAGCTATCAAGAAGCAAGTTTGGATTCAAAAGCATCAGAAACTGCCCCAGTGCTTAATATAGTAAGAAGTTGGAATACATCTATAATTTAAAGGGGATTGTATCTCTGTAGGATTTTATAATATTGGAGGTATTATTTAAAAAATGTAAGTATGTCTTGAAAGGTAGTGACATTAAATAACGTGATACAAAAAACAAATCTTAGACTTTGAAGGATTAGCCCAGGGCTATCCCTATTGAATTTTTAATACGTATTTAAGAAAATAAGTTGCATTTTTGGTTTCATCTCTGTTATTCCAGCTGAGAATCAAACAGGTGGCAAATCCTGGGTTTTGATTTTGGGAAAAGAACTCTACATAATGAACTGAAGACTCCCTGTAATATGCAGGGAATTAACATTGACTGCAGGAGACGCCTTGGCCTGGGGCAATAGAGGGGGCTTACCAGAACTGCACTTCT